TCCATGAATGGCCTCCATGGCAAGCACTTCAAATGCCTATCCAAGCTACAGTTATAATTAAAACAAAATTAAACCACTGCAATATTATTTCGAATACAGTTTAGAATATACACAACTATAAATTAAGGCCGCATTTAGGTTCGCTATAATACATTTCATTTCAGCTACATCCTGTCTATCGAATCTACCCGTTCTTATCGCCGCAATGTCAATATATATATATACGCCCAAAACTGTGCCTTACCAAAAAATGTAAATCTACAGAAAAAAGCTTACCGATATATGGTTCAGAGTCTTCCAATATACTGTAGAGCCGAAGTTTAATTTTTGCCACAATAGTGCTTTTCCAGTTGTGTTTACCAATTTGCATATTGTTTACCATCTTCGCCAGCCAAGGTCATTTATTCGATCATCGCCTCACCACTGCACCTTGGCAGATATTATATCGCCAACGTATATTTACGTGCGCCCTCTCTGACAATACTAGAGTTATTTTCTTCGAGGCATTGGCCAGCTCGTTATAGCTGCACCACGTACAAATATGTACTTTAGAAATTGTCTTCCCAGACCGAGATTCGGATTGTGCTAACATTTTAGTATCTGTTACTTGAGTGCTAAAAATCCAACTGATTAGATCATTTCAATTTATTAATTTGTTTAATCATTTTTTCACTATACTAAAATAATGAAACACAGCTATGACATACGGTCACCGTAAAATGCACGGTAATATTCGTGTGCATGATGCAAGCTACACGCTCTCACTATATGTGAACATAGATTTTCAACCGTCACACGTTTGAAAAAATAGCAACTGTATTTACGGTATGTCTCTAAACTGTGAACTGATAAGACTTGAGGAATTATTTCAATATTTTTCACAGACCAAACGCCAAAACTGCAGATTTGATTTTTTGGCCAAGTTAATTAAAAATTGAAAGGGCTGTAAATACTCATGGTTGATTAATAACAGTGTAACATAATTTGGTTGTCATGTAGTCTCCGTCCAAAATAGCATACATCTGATTGGATTGACAGGATTGCAGTCAGAATCCTAAAACGAGTGTATACTGCGCAGCAAACTAGCTTTCACCTGTCTGTCGACATATTGAGAGAACCATGTTTTTTCAACTTGCTTATTTCTAATCTTATAGATTTTTTTTTTTCAAAAAAGGTGGCCTATATATATAAATTATCGGTAAATTAATCGCATTCATTATATTATCACATGTGCTCCAGCTGACTATGATTTTGTTATACACGTCAAAAACTTGAACAATTTATGCCAATGTGATTATTTGTTCGTGTTATTTGTTTTCTCTGTAAACTAACACACATTGTAAAGTATTCTATTTAAAATACGGATAGAAATATAATTAAAATATGTAAATGACAGGTTTATATTTGTGTGTATTCCTGGACCATGTACGATATGGAATGCTTTATATATATTATATACACATTTTAGTCAGCCATAATGTATGCTGCTGCTCAGTAATCATTGGACGGCGTTCTGTTGATTCAAATGAGTGTGATGGTCGAGTCGATGAATAGTGCCATCTGTGGCCGAACATTGCACTACCTTCGTTTAGGTTGCCCACCAACCACTGGAACAGAAATCTGCGCTGTCGACAGATCCGCCATCATGGCTTTGCGTGTGATCAATAACGCGATCATTGTGTATACTCATGCCATTCTAACGTCAGTGTTTATCTGTTCGCTATAGTGCTTCAGTTTTCGTAAAAGTTCGTGTAATTTTTCTTTGTTCTTGTTTGCTTGATTTTTTCTCTCCTTTGGGTCTTCTTTTATGTTGTACAACTCAACGCGACCGTGCTTCTTTGGTCTTATAAAACGCAATCCTAACTCAACTGGTTTTACCCAATTTCCTTCAATAACTGTGGGGTTAAAACAAAGATGACAATTCATCAATTAGAAATTGAAATGATGATAACAGAGTTCTAATGTTCACAAGTTCGAAAATAAATACGTGCTATACAGGAACAACAGACGGGCTTCTACTCAGCAAATTGAATAACAACGTCATGATATATTTGTTTCCGTTTAGTGGCGCCATTTAGCATCGCAATTGTTCAATCACGGGGGGTGAATGAATGTCTATCAGGGTGACATTTGTGTTTTGATGTGTAGTCATTTGTCATTTCAAATATAACATATCGTATCATTTTGTACTGACATGCAACTGCAGATAAACTCAATATTGTCACTTTCCCCGGAAGTCAAAGATAAGGTGTTTCACATGCGCGCGCATGCCGTTTGCGGGTGTAACGTAAATTTGCACGCGTAATATTGTGCTTCTGAGTGTATCAATCAACGTCACAAAAATAAAATTCCCTTCTATCAGCAAACTGACACATTTTTTTGTGTTTTTGTTTCAGCCTGACAACGCAGGAGTATTTTTGCATCCAAGTCTTGCTACTTCCGGGAAAGTCGTCTATGTAATTTATTTTGCATGTGTACCTCATAGAAGCTTATGTCGGTAGAGGGCGCGCTTCGTTATTTTCCGATGCAACCATCACCCATGCTGCGGTGAAGCATTAGTATGTAACATGACTCTAATTGCATTATGTAAAATATAGCTTCAAAAAAGTATTTAAATAAAATTATAATGAACTCATGAAACAAAATGGTCATAATTAGATATCACATATTGTATGACCTATCATAATAATTTTCCAACGAGACGAAAATGTATTTCTTTTGACACTAATCAGTGTAATACTTAAAATAGAAGTTTCATGAATTTGAGTTATGGTTAATATTCTCCCACGTGACTGATATTACGTGCAGAAAACATGAAACCCGTCCACGCAATTCGCCCCACACGGCGTATAATGTAGATATATATGGTATCTGAATTTATTTTCATTCGACATAACCTTCATTATAATTTTTTTTTTCAACACTGTGTTCTCAATGACATACATACTGAAAACACCTTGCAGCTTTTTAAGCTAAAAATCAGTGTGCATCAAATACAATGCAACATATGGTGTAAGGGGACAATAACGTATAACAATTTGGCAACACATGTTAACGATTACATGCTGTAGCCATGCAATGAGTCAATAGTATATAATTTACATATTGTATAGCACTACATGTTTTAGTACTATCTGTTTAATATTCAAAAAAACAGTACGTAAGAGAGCACATTTAAAAGCGAGGCTGTAATTATTCCCAAATGTTGACAAAGTACCGAAGCATTATGTGAAATCTGTTTAAACAATTAATACGTCATTAGTAGCAACGATTATAATGCAGACTCGATTATTCTGACGAGTTAAATCCTCTTATTCATCAAACCAATAGTGCAAATAACTATTATCACTGCAAACACTTTCTGCGGTTGTAATTATATCATCAAAACTTTGCCGAGCATAGTGGTTGTACCTTCAGACTTATGATCGGTAGATCCAAGTTCAAATGCTACCTTAGGCTGAACAGCAAAAAGGGTCGGATGAGTGTGCCGCAGATCAATGGGAAGGCCAAATTCCACTAGCCGATTATTCACTAACAAATGCAAATTTGGACGGAGGGGGTATTTGGTTACGGTCCGCAGATGTTTGTGTTCGACCGAGCCTGGTTGACGCCAGTATAGCGCATTGGGACTACCGTGACATGATTGTGCGGCCATGAAATGGTAATTCAAACGTGAATATGGTTATGTGGTGTGTGCTGACACTGTGACGACCACCATTTGCATTTTGCACATGGATAAAAAAAGTTTCGAGAGACAACAGTGATATTTAATGTCCGGAACTGGCGCCTGGCACAAAGAAAAATGAATTCGCTCTATTAAATCTATTGTCCGCTTTCCGTTCGCGCGCTTACGCCATCACGGCAGCTATCAGTACATTTATCTATCGTCTTTATTGCAATTGTATTTACCTGAATTCCCTGTTAGTAGTTTCCAGTCACCGACACGAATCGCGGAAAACGGCATCGTATCAAAATAGTCCGCCGTTGCCTCACCCTCGTGGTTTTCGTTCACGACTCCGTTAGTATCACCAGGTATGAAATTCAGCAATACTTCTTTGCGATTCGTCACATTTCCCCGACTGTAAAAATAACAACAAGCGTGAAACGGCTGATTGAATTACGTCATATATGAACAAATCTCACTCAGTAGTGAGATAATTCGCCCAATTTGTCAAACACATTCGCGCCAATATTAATGTTCATTCTATGATTTCTGTAATTTTGCTTTGTAGTGAAGACAGTTGTATGTTTTTAATGGGCAAAGTGTAAGTACAGGGTACTTGACAGGTAATGTCATATCGATGCATGTTAGCTCCTGGATAAAATAATGGTGTAACATTTGATCAAAATCTGAACTGTGAATGGAGTTTACCGTAATCAAGTTTCAAAAACTGAGAAAATAGTTTGGTAGCCCACTTATTATATAGAAAATACTAAAATATAGTTAAACCGCTACAGTCGTCGCGTCGCGTTCTGTTCGATACTGGACCCATAGCGAAGTTTATCACATCTCACTGCTGTTACGCCTGCTATGATTGGTTGAAACTCGGTCACATGACATTGAATAAAAATGGATATTACATGGTATATTGCCCGCCAAGTGGATATTACATGGGCATATCACATGAATGACGTCACTGAAACGATACTGCGCATACCAAATTGTCGTTCGCTGCACTGGTGCTTCCCCGGCCGTTGTTGCTTTCGGGGTTCCTTTCAAGGTTTTGAAGGAACTTTAGCCATCCGAAATAGACAGCGAACGTGTCAGAATGGATATTAAGTAAGATACTCTGTTTTGATGTTTAGGGTATTTTTATATGAAGCAAAAATGTACGTCAGAAAGCCGCCACTGAAACAAGATCGCTGCGGCGCGTTCTAGGCTGTGAGCATTTCTACACGTTCAAGTTCCATGCCGATGCTAACCGAAAACGCTCTAAGCTGTGTGGCTTGTATAAGGTGTAGTACGTTCGTGAGAAAGTAATTTCAAACACTTCTATTTGGCGAGTGGTTCAATAACTGGCGTTTGGGAATTTTCCAATGCATTTAAAAAATGTTATACTCGATAAAATGAGTGGTTCACTTTTAGCATCCGTGGCGGAAAATAGCGTTTACTGTGTGTATTTCGCAATTTTTTCAGCAAACAATGTATGTATGACATTGAGTAATGTGACACTTGTTATATTAGATAAAATAAAGTATTTCATACTTCAATTATAAGTGTCATTATTTTGTGTGAGTGATCTATGGTTAGGTGTATTTGTGCATGGCGGATGTCTGCTCGATGTGATAAAATAAATAACACATGGTCATTCGGGCAATATCACGATTCGTTGTCTGCCCTCGGGCTGTAGGTCATGACCATAATATTGATGATGCCCTCGCCCTCGCCTTCGGCTCTGGCATCAATCAATATTGGGGTCAAGACCACCATCCCTTGGGCAGGCAACAAATCGTGATATTACCCTCACAAACATGTGTTATTATTTAAATAGTACACTTGTACCACATAATATGGTAAATGTACCACATGAAATGATGATTGCACCAAAAGTGTACGACTGAAGATTGCAGTTTGTAGAAGTTCTGGTTCGACCAATCATAATGACGTAATAAAGTAATCCCTAGAAATCCCTAACCTAATTTTACCTTATCGTTTCCCATTGGTCAATTCCATCCAATGGTTTTAATCCATGCAAATCGGCCTTCGCCAGGCGTAACAGTGTGGGGAACCAATCTGTAACGTGAATCAACTCGTGATTGGTTGTTCCCGTCACGTGATCGGACAGAAGATGACTGTTCACAAATCCAACAGCTCGTATTCCTCCCTCGTACCATAACCCTTTGCGTCCACGTAGTGGCCAGTTGCTTCCACCGTCTGTCGGGGTGGCGCCATTGTCTAAACAGAAATCATGTTTGAAGTTCAGTCTGGCTGGAGATTAATTTAAATTCTGACGGAAGATTCATAATTGTTTGTTGAGTTACTGAATTATGTGTTAAAATTGTCAACTGAGTGCTCTTTGTATTGGAATAAAAAGATCATCCACACTTTTTGTGTTGACACGCTGACCTGGGACACATTTTTTAGACCTTATATATGACTATCCTGTTAGCTACCAGTCTTACTGAATGATGTTAATTCAGATGGTAGTCTCATGGTCACATGATCACAACACAGCATAAATTGTTAGCAATAGTACCTACTAATACAAGATTTATATTTTGAGGTTTTAATTACCAATATGTTATGCAGTTGCCATGGAAAATATGCTAATAAATGTAATTGCATTTATATGTTGTTTTCCACACAACTAACATCAGCTTGTAGTGACGTAAAATAAATAAGATTCATGGTGAACTATATTCAATAGATTGCTTTTGTCAATTTCACTATAAAGGGGAGTCAATTTATAAGTGTATACACTAATGCATTTAAAGACTGTAAAACTAAAATGAGTGAATATTTATGAATTTATGAAGAATATAATAAATATAACTATATATATATGTATATATACCTGATGAGAAAATAAACACAGTGTTATTCCAAAGACCTTTTTCTTTCAACGTAGCGGTGACATTTCCGATAGCCTCGTCCATGCATGACGCCATTGCGGCGTATACGCGCCTTTTGTCATCCTCGATTAAAGACCTATATTGGTCTTCGTAAGATGGCGGTACCAAAAGTGGCACGTGTACAGCTTGGAATGACAGGTAAAGAAATAATGGCTGCAAATAAAAGCGTACACATTAGGGGTTGACCATTCCATATCACGGTGACTGGAAATTGCAAGTTATACACTGCGAGGGAAAAAATGCATGTCAGGCAGTGCAGGGGAAAATGTTCAAGAAAAATGTGCACATAAGTCACCCTGAACAAAATATGCACTGGTCACATTCTTTTTAGCGACCCTCCCCAAGATTTCAAATGGTTGACCCCTCAGTACAATGTACATAATAATATGAGGTGACTGCAAAGTATGCACGAAGACAGTACAGCGGAGGTCGATGCGACCGCGTACTGTCTGAGTGCATACTTTGTAGTGTTCTCGTATTAACCTTATTATACATCTTTTCCACCATCATAAGAATGCTGAAATCCGAAATGTTTGGAACAAATTTGGCGGATTTCTTTGTGTGGAGTCCGGTCAAATTCTGGGGGCAGCCATGTTTTTTTTTATTATTATTATTAGAGGACGCTTACGCGCGTAATCGTACCATATTTGGAATTAGCGTTTCCTAATATGGTGGGATGAAAATACCTAGTGCAATGGCATAAAATTACGGCACGCTGTAACTTATGGCGTTATGGTGACAGATGTATAATAATATAATGTACGCAATATAATACTTGAAATCGTCATCTACTGTTGTAAACGTGGTCGCCACAAGAAAGCGGCCCGATAAAATACGAACCCACTGAATTCAATTGAATTCATTTTATACTGTATTAATCCCAAACCATTGCAGCCTCTTTCTTCAATTTTACTTCCCGTTTCGAGTTGTAATCCATTACCTGCTTTGTATTGTGTTGTCGTATTATTCTTTGCGCTTCGTCTGCGAATATCATCGTGCTGTATTGTCCTTCATATTTGACAGCAATTGAGGTATCATTTGCCCAAAAGTCATAAGGGGCATGTGGACCGCCTCTGCGATGTGTAAAGTAGTTTTGACTACCCCCATGGTAACCTGTAATGTGAAAAACGTGGTGATTGAATGACATTCAGTCCACATTTGTGTCAACTGTTCTTTGATCACATACGACTTCGATTTGGAGAGTTGTTTTCAAGTTGACGTTTCCATATTTGGTATATGAGAGAAGCGGACTGAGTCAAAGTGCGTGAGTAGTCTGAAAGGTACACTATAAATTTGGACAAACTGCTAGACTTGCTACATCTAAATTGTAAACTAATCTAATAAAGTATTTGTAAATTTATCGGCTGTGGTTGCAACAAAAGACTGGGAAACAGGAAACATCAACGAAGAACATTAAAACGGTGGAGTCGTCACCTGGGCATGCGTCAGATGGCCATAGCGTGTCACTGTTTACAAACAAGCGTCTACCCACAAGCCTTTGCGTTTTTTGAAATGCCAGGATATGTAAAATTGATGAATGCAAAACACAACTATGGGATAGAAATGGACAACACGTTTCCGTGCTGCCGCACAAAGTCAAGTGTATGACGGAATTACCAAGAAATGTCTGAAAACCGCGATGTGTTGGATAACATTCTGCGTGTTCAAATCCACTGAGGTGCCATTTCCCAACCATAGCTGTATAGTAACCAGCTTCGTAGAGCTTATCAGCTAACGTTGTCTCGTGTATACCCATGAAGTCACATACATCACCATAGAGACCAGTGCGAATCTGATAGAAAAAACAATAGTATCGCATTATTTATCGTTGGTGGCGTTCCTTAATTGGATCCGTTATGTTATTGAAGTACAAAAACAGTTTAGAACAATCGCATAATCGAAGACTAATTCCTAATCAGTTGAAACTGACACTTTACCCTATATCTCCCTGTCATTAAATTAACTCTAGAGGGCGCACACCAGGATGAAACGTAGTAGTTCTCCAGTTTAACGCCTTCTGCTGCGAGCTGGTCAATGTTAGGTGTTTTGATGACGCTGTCATGGTAACCAACATCATGCCATCCAAGATCATCAGCGAGAACAAAAACAATATTTGGACGAGAGTCAGGCTGTATATCTTCTTTGTCGCCTGAGTGGGCGTTCGACAAACTGGAATCGGGTTGGAAATTGACAACTGGCTTTTTAACACCTTCATCTACTAGTTTAGTAACACTATGAACTGCCTGAAATGTCCTTTCATCTGATTGGACGTGTATATCTGGTGTAGAGCAGTTTTCTATATCAGTGTTTGGTGACGTCATACTGTTCACTGATTGGTACATAGAATCCAACGTAACGTTGTCATCTGATTTGGTTTCAAGTGATGTCAAGTTGAATGAAGATTGTGATTGGTCAGGTACAACCGAAGCAGAATCCCTGATGGAAAGATTGAAGAGACTTGAATTACATTGGGTATTTTGAGCATATTTCAATAACTATGTTTAAATGTTATGATTTATGGTAAAACCGAAAAGTTGATTTGGCAGATTATTTGTTTGGTGTAAGTTACACAACTTAAGTGCGCGTGCACTTCGTATTACTTGTAAACGTAAGGTAAATCCGTCGTTATGGGATATTAAATGGGGAACTTCTCTTTATATTCCAAACCATTTTAAGCAAAACAGATAAAATACTTCTCTAAATTGCTGAACCATATCATACTAATTATTAAACAAACGATATGATCAGAGCTAGTTAAGGGATAATATAATCTACATACATTTAAAATAGTGAAGGCAAATGTTTTGGCCACCAAACAAACTGAAAAATTAATACTGAACAAGAATCCTTGGAATGCATCCTACGCAAAAATGTGGCGGCATTTTCATTAACATCATGCTTGTTTCTGTATTGTTTTGAATACACATCATGTAATGTAATTTTATTTGAAGTGAAACGCGTCTTTGAATAAAAACAAAGGAATTCAAGATGCATTTGCGAAGGATTACAATATGTACAATATATTATATATTTTTTTTCGAACCAAAAAAACAGAAAAAAAAAACATAATTTTAACTGAGGACTTAAATAATCAATGAAATCAAAACATCACATTTTACTCGTAAGCATAAGAAGTATGGTATATATGTGGTATAAGCAAATTAAAAAAACAGAAACAATTTGAATTCTTCATCTTTCAAACTTCTTTTTTATTCATATATAACAAGTTATCGAAGTTAATTGGTGCTCGTTTTTTTTTTCGAAGTTCGTGTATTTGGGACAATTATTCGGATAACACCCATGTTACCTACATGTGTCAGCGAGAGATATGCAAATACAAATTTAAATTTTTGAAAATCGCAAATTAGATTTAAACTTGCAATTTATTTCCCACAGGCACTTTCACAGACCTGTCATGTGGGCGGTAAATCGCACCTACTAGTCGATTATTAAACACTAGCTACACCCGATAATACACTTCTAGGTTATGTTGACCTTCTCTGAAACCCAAACAATTTACTAAATATTGCGATATTCTAAAGAAAACTTGTTTTATTCGTCGTTATTGCTAAATACTGAAATACGCTCAACTGTTGTTGAAATATACATCATCTGTTTCAATTATGTTAATGGGTAGTGCAAGTATGGATATTATATTGCCGCATCCGAGTCACTCCGCTGTCCGTCAGTATTCTTCATCGATAAATGCGTGTTGTGTGAAATACTATTACGAGATGGATGCCGCTCTCCTCGAATTTCACACATAATTTTTATTATAGGAATTCGATAGACATACCTCGTTGAGTTCGCCTCTAGATTGGTCCTATACTGCGCGGAACGCGTGTTGTCATGGAGATGCACGATATTAGGCAATGTGAAAATAAATGAAAACAAAATGAGCAGTACGAGAAGAAGGATAATTTTCATACGAATCATCCCGCTGGTAGTGTACATCAACTGCTCGATGGCTATCTTAGATAACGACCTCGTCCTCAGTCGGTTGATGCCGTCACTGGTGAACAAAGAAGGAACTTGAAACGAACCTTACAGTATGAATTGAGACGTCATACAGACCTCATATTTGACTGAACAAACGGGAGACAACTTTTCCTGTCAGATTTTTGTATATATATATCTCTCTATAGCTATTGAGAGTGACACTATCTGTCAGAAATGAAAAATGATGACCTGTCGTTAACAGAGTAAATCTATATATGGATTACGTGCCCAGTGTGTACGACCACGTGACTGTGTAACATGCCGACGTAATCTGCACATGGTGTGTATTTCGAACGATATGTAAATGTCCTTTGTATACGCTCGTTAGTATGACCCTTGCACAACTGTGCATATACACGGGCGGCAGCGGAATTGATTCGAAAATTTGATCTGAATTTGAGGGCTTGTTTACCACGCATGAGCTGGAAATGTTTTTAATAAATGTATAACATTTATTGTCGACTGCCGGTCTTTTTGGCGACTATTTTTATCATGGCGTCCTGCAATCGATAGTATGGGTCCCATACTCTGCATAGCAACGTATAACCACGCGGGTGAAATATGTTGTTTGATTACACAGACATCGAAAGCACGCAGCCGTTTCGATCAGCGCCTTTTAAATTGGCACTTTGTCAACCACTTTTTGTGTTGTATGTTTGAATTATGGGAAGTCCCATCCCCTCCTATATGGGGTAGTCCGTTATCATGGAATCGGTGTATTCTCTCCTGTCCTACATTATTATGATATCCATCTGTTTCTCTCGCCGTAGCATAGCATGTAGTCCACAACATAAACATACGACAATTAAGGTCGTTGGCCGTTATAAAAACAGATTCAGATTTTTATCACAATGTGTTTTTATTGTATGCTGTTATTTACAAAACGAACATGAAAAGATATGGTCACGGAACAATCTTTCGCGTAAAAAAATGCTAAAAAAACATAAAAAGGCGATATTTAAGCCATTTAACATTTCTATGGGGCAACAAATCTGAGATTATCGTTCGGTTTAGTGAAAACCTGGTATGCTGTATAAGATATGGGTAATTCAGATTGTCACGAAATATTAAATATTAGAAGTTTCTGGAGAATGTCATTTATTTTCCATGAAATAATGCGTTTACATTTTGTCACGATTTTCGCAAAACCGTGATTTCGTTGTACCGGGTAAAAACACTCAATCATGTATTAAAATCTATAATTAAAAAAAGCACTTTATAAAACAAAGTATTGTGATAAAATTTTCGCTATTTTTTATACCAAAATATTCATGAAAAACTCAACATACATGCCTGACTAAACTGCATGTTATGACAGGATTTATTGAATAAATCAGATTTTTCATCAGACGTAATTCCGTCATTGTTTTCTCCAAAAGAATTCACGTAATAGGAACTGACAGTAAATGCAACATTGAATGCAATAAGTTCACTCGTGTAGCAGCTTGTACTTGAGTATAAGCAGACTTATATTGACTGTCAGGTACTATTTGAACTGCAGTGTAAGTATCGATAAGGTCTGGTTCGATGATATGGTACGTTCTTTTGTATACTGTACAAGTATCATGAATGCTACACCGCCGTGCAATTGATACTGCTCATGTTTCCCACATGTAAAAGTTTGTTTGCGGTGAATGTTATCGCCTTTGCCAACATAGCATTTTACTTGCCGAGCTCCAGTTTTGTAACACATAATAAATATTTAATGTAGGTATTATTGTAACTAATTGATATGGATTAGGGGGACATGTCCAGATAATAGAAAACATTCCTTCATCACAAAAAGACGCATTGAAACGTGCAGCCTGATAACAGCTCAGTCACCATGTGCGATGAGTGACGTACATACAGACAATAGAAGTGAAAATGAATTAAAAAATCATGTAAATGAGATTTCTGTGTTCAATTGCATGTTAGGTTGGATTAAGTTGTCAATCAATATTCGCAGAGTGGTGTGCTAAATACCGAGATTTTTTGACATTTGACTGATGTTCTGTTTCTCTTACGAATGACAGATCGTTCATGTTGTGGACCGACAAAAAACTATTTTATTTTCTAGAAATTTATTGTAAAACAATAACTCCAATCATGAATTATATATGATATGCCAACTGTCTTTCTCAAGTGTGCGTGTTTTATTTCAATAAATATTATTTCTCTTTTTGTTTCGAGATCAACGATCTTTTAAAATTTTAAACAGTCAACTCCACACGGGATAAATATTGCCGACTGACCAGCAAACGCTTTAATTATTCGTAGTTTGTAATTGATAGTCGTTAATTTCACGGATTCGTTCTATTGGTTGGCAAAAACGTAATGATTTTTTATGATATAGTAGACAATATTTTGAAGTCGTTGTTCTGAGGAACTATTCAAAATTTCTGGACGTATCGAGCAATGGCTCTTCATCAATAGCATAGAAGGAAACGTGTAATTGGTAAGAATCAAAACACACAAAAGGGCAAATGATGCGTTATACGATACGTATAGAAATTATTCTCGATTCGTTTAAAATGGCGCGATTGGGTATGGAGTCTGGTTACCCTATGATTTCGATAATATTTCGATGAACATTATGATTTTCATATTCACACTAAAACACGATTGTTTCCACACAGTACATTTTAAAAATCAAAATTCGTTTCGTGGCCCGTGTAATTTTAGATTGACTGGACCACATAAATGATTGCAGCTGTCACAGATGGACTAATTGATTTTCTACACACGTTACTGACTACTTGAAATGAATACCATCACGATGCGTTGACATCCTTGATTGACATAATTAAAGCTGATACTGCTTTGCTGATATTTCTAATAGGTGATTTTCCGTACAATTGCGAGATCTCGCGAGATGCATGAAAGACGCGCG